CTTGATGAGAGTGCACCAAGTGCCACGATGTCACTTATGTTAACCTGTAACTTCACACGGTGCGCGATACTATCACAACAAACTAAAAAGAAGAAATACTCACACGAATCCTAGGTCAATGAAACAATAAAGACTATTGTTTCCTTCTGCCTTTGGTTGCAGACTATTCTCAAAGCACAGACGAAAAGAGTGACACCGCCAAGATAGAATATCCGTGCCAAGGAATGAAGCAAACTCTGCCTACTTTCCCAAAGTCACGGAGTTCCTACCTTTCATCAGGGGCGTTGATGTCTTGGGGTAATTTAAAACTATTGATACCGAACATAGCCACGATCTCAAATGTTAGAACTAAAGGGTCGCAAAGACACGAGCAGCGACATTGATGGGATCAACTATACGATAGTAACATTCAGGATTCGCTTACAAATTATATAGAAGTCTAATAAATGTTGTTTCCTAAACGAATGAGAACAGATGATCTTGCCCTATTTTCCCTCCATTCTGTCTTTATTTGTTTATACCGTTCTTTTTTAACAAGGCTGGGAAATTTCACGACCAATATAACAATTACAAACATCATCCTTTTGGAGTCTGCCTTGTATTGTCTTATAGTCTGGTCCTTCAGGAACATTTATTGGATTCAGCGTAAATATTGATGCACAATTTCAAAAACTTAAAAAAACATAGGTACAGTTTTTCTCGGGAAGGGCAACAATGTGGACAGATGACAAGCCTAGTAAAGATGTTTTCAAAGAAATGAACTCAGAGAGAACCAATTACCCGCATCGGTGTGGAGGGGGGGGGGGGGGAGAGAAAGAGAGAGGCGAGCTAAATTATTTGGTCACGCTATGAGAATAGAAAAACGTAAGTACATCTCGGAGAGAAGAGAAGGAGAGACAGACCAGGATGAAATATTGTGATTAATATGGCAGCGTGGCATGGAAGATTATTGTATGGCAAATGTTTGATACACGGCCTTCTCTATTTATATAAATAGCTCAAGATGGGCGTGGTTTGATAGTACGGAAGTCTCCGTGCCAAAGTGGTCAATCCGTTTGCCTCACGCTCTGAACGTCGTAAGTTCGTTTCATGGCTGCGACCTTCAGTACACGAGTGCAGTTTTTAAGGAGATCCCCTGGGATCGTCGTCGGAGCTATCCCTGAAATGTTGTCGCAATGTGCCTGTGTGCTTCAAAAGATAACTAACTACGATTTTTCTAGTCACTAGATTGAGCGTGCCGCCTCTGCAGACATCTGAGAATGTTATATTCAACGAGAACAGCAGAACTTCAATGTTTTCATTTAACACCAACAACAACAACACCAGATCCGTCTTGATATTCGTTTGCCAGTCTGGAATTGTTGCCCAGAATCGTTACCAGCTAAACAGGTAGCGCAGGCGAGGCGACACGCCCTTGCACTTTCATGTACACACACATACACAAACCCCATTGAAGTAGGACGATAGTGGTTGAGGTGGGGTCGAGGGTGGAAGTGAATTCTTCTGACAAATCCTCGCTACAAAATTATAAACACTTAAAAAGAGAACTAGACATAGTGGAAGTTGACGTTTTGTTTCATTTAAAGTTGTTAACAGGCAATTTGTTTTTTGCGGTGGAAAAAAAAGGGGGGGGGGGGGGGGGGGGTGGGGGCATCAATATTATCATCATAATAATAGTGACCTTGTTCTTCTTCCTTCCTTCATTCCCTCTTTCTTTTGTTTCTTCTCCTTTATTCGTCAAATTGTTTTTCTTTATCTTTTTCTTTCGTCAATTTGTTCTTCCTCTTCTTCATTCCTGTATTTCTTCTTCTTCTTCTTCTTCTTCTTCTTCTTCTTCTTCTTCTTCTTCTTCTTCTTCTTCTTCTTCTTCTTCTTCTTCTTCTTCCTCAACATCACGCCGACCGCCTTTACTTCTCAGGACTGCACCTGGTACCCAATCAAATCTGGGTCGACCCGGAGCCAAGGTCATTTTTGAAATAAGTCAGGCTCGGTCAGGGCCCGAATCCATGACATTTCGATCCGCAGCCGAGAATCTAGCTTCTACACCACAAAGACTCTTCTCAGCACAGTATTATAATTGTTATTATTATTATTATTATTATTATTATTATTATTATTATTATTATTATTATTATTATTATTATTATTATGGTCTTAAACTCTTTTTATGTCACTTGATGTTTCTCCCGTATGTATGGCGGCTTGGAGATTTGAGGACACCCCCACACCCTTTTCCCCTCAATTTTTGTGTGTGTGGTGGCGCACCAGGACACGAGAGGACAAATGAGACTTTAGAAAGAGTCAGACTGTGGTCAAACCAGATTCGAACCTCTTTATAAACCATTTAAAGAAATATGCAAGGTCGCAAAAAACTGTCATGTACAATTAAACAACAGACCACAAATATAACCGAACGCTGCTTGCAGCGAAAGCTGTTCGCACAAAACGTGTAGCAAACATACCCTTCTGCGTTTCTCTTCCTGTTGTCTCTTCTCTTCATCCTGCTGTTTTCTTCTTCGATCCTCTTCTTGTCTTCGCCTCTCAGCCTCGGCAGCAGCCGCTTCCTCCTCCTCCCGTTGTCTCCTCTCCTCCTCCTCCCTGGCACTGGAATCGTCTTCGGCCGCAGCCGGCGCCTGCTAAAAAAAGAAGATATACTCCTGATACAACAAGGTCAAGGCGTTAGCGCAGATAGTCCTTACAAGTGACAGTCAGTCAGAGTAACTATACATAGAGGTTATAACATGAGAAGTCACCACAACTGACAGTTAATCAGAGTAACTATACATAGAGGGTATAACATAAGCAATAAGTTCAACTTACATTCAGTAAGAGTAACTATACATAGATGGTATAACACAAGAAGTCCTCACAACTTACAGCCTGTGAGAATAACTATAAAAACAGTCAATGCAGAGTTAAGGTAAAAAAATTATAACAATAACTGGTTATTTTTGTTTTTGAACTAAAATAACGAAACGTTAAAATGTAAAAATTGTTACAAACTGAAGCACTAATAAACAATAACTGAAGCGATTGGTTATAAAATGTAGTTAGAACATAAAAAAAAAAAAAAACTGTTAGCAGAATAATGAGTGATGTACTAGTATTTGGTGTCGGCTCTGTGGCTAAGTCGATACGAACGCTTCGTAATGCCGGGATGCCGGTTCGATCCCAGCTGTGGACAAGGCGCCTTGCGTTGGTTTCGACAGTGGTATCAAGAAAGCAGACCGTCCAGAAAGCAATGGCAAACTACTCAACGTAAATTTGCCTAACAAGAAAACCATACAACAGCCGGGGGTTGTTGGGGTTGGTTCTGCAACATCCTGTAAAAGATACGCAACTAACTAGAATTTGGTACAACTTGACAAAATAATTCTGCCCTGGCTGCGGCAGACAAAGACGAGCCATTTATGGGAATGCCGGAGTGCTTAGATGTCGGTTCTAAAGTTAATTCAGCAGACACCATTTAGGAACTGTTTGTGAATAAACAGGGATGTTTGTGAACGGGATACTTGAGACTGTCATTTTGAATCATTTGGTGTCTTATAGCTAGATAGAGAGGTGGGCTGGCCTAAGGAAGAGTATGCGGAGGCTCTATGAACGAGCACTAACAGGAAGTTTCACCCCCTGTTTTTTCTTTAAGCTTGTCAATCATAGTTCAACGAATTCATGTTAAACAGTTTTTTTCATACATAACATTGTCAGTTTTTGAAAAGTTAACTAAAAAAAAAAAAAAAATCCTCGAATGCAGCGTCGCGACGGCTATTCTAAAATGCGAAATGTCATGCAGAAAGGTACACAAAGTATTCAGCAACAAACGAAACAATAAATAACTTGGGTTGTAGAGACTGGAAACAAGAAAAAATACAAGTAGAATAAGGATTTGCATGCAGACCTTAATGAAAATAAAGCGCTAGAAGATTAGAAATAAATTATCCTGATTTTTAGATTGTAGATTCCCTATCGCTGCTTTTGATCACTGCAAGGAATGACATCTTGGCACGATGTCCGACTTACTTAAATAGGATTTCATCGACAATAAAAACTAGCTAAAGACACCACGCCTGCCCAGGTGGACACACTTCTATTAAATGTGTGTGCGCTAGCATTTCTTCTTTATCTTCTTCACTTCATCTTTCTCTTTCGAGTGTCAGTGGAGATATAAGGCTCTGCTGTTTGCTCTTCGGGTCACCTGGACCATAGACGTGCCATGCTGTTGTAGCGTTTCTCTCATGTTATCTTTCCGTCTAGTGTTTTGGTTCACTTCTGCGTCCTCTTTCAAATCTTCTCTTGGTGCATACCATGTATGTTATCTTGTAGCAGGACATTCTATTTTAGTTGGCACACCATCTCTATTTTCTATATATGTATGTAGTTAAGAAGTGGTTCTGTGTGAGTTTTTTCTCTTAGACTTTATTCTTGTTGTGATCTCTGATGATCGCTCCTTATCTGTTCTGGATTAACATTTGGAATTATTGTCCAAGTTTTCAAATTAATGAAAGTGTTTACTATAGCATAAATCTAAATAATTTCAATCTTGAAAAACACACTTATAGCTTTTCGTTTTTAGAGACCCGGTAATACAAACAACAACTCACTAATCTGGTCTGGGAGAAATATTCCATAATTAAAAGGGAAAAACATTAACATCCAACATAGTTTTATTTAAATTCTTTGAGACATAGTTCTTGTCACTTGCGGCTTTTTCTGGCCATTACTTGTTTCTGGGTCCACACACGTGTTAGATAATCTTCTGCCTAACAGAATTGTGATTTCTGTCAGCGATACGTCAGTTAAGGGATTTTTTGTATTCTTGTTCGTGCTTGGGGTATTGTAGATTTATGTAATGTGCATATGAAGGCTTTCTTGACGCAACGTTCACTTGTTGTCCGTGTTTGTGATATTATGAAACTTACTGGTTCTACTTTTCGTTTGGTTTGATATCTTGTAGTGACACTGGAAAAAGAAAGCCCCCTCCCCGTTCCGTATGCATTGCTGGTGGAGTTTCCTGCACTGATATACCTAAATAATCTGCTCTTTGTAAATGCCAGCAGGCAAACCCGGTAAATGCCTGGCCTATGTTTGGGCTTTAGAGAAAGGTGCCAGGTTTCTGACTGCAGACTCGACTGTTAACCTGAGGGCGGGAGGGCACAAATTACTGCCAGTATCAACCTGCGGGGGGAGGACACAGATTACTGCTAGTATCAACCTGAGGGCGGGAGGACACAGATTACTGCTAGTATCAACCTGAGGGCGGGAGGACACAGATTACTGCCAGTATCAACCTGAGGGCGGGAGGACATAGATTACTGCTAGTATCAACCTGAGGGTGGGAGGACACAGATTACTGCTAGTATCAACCTAAGGGCGGGAGGACACAGATTACTGCCAGTATCAATCTGAGGGCGGGAGGACATAGATTACTGCTAGTATCAACCTGAGGGTGGGAGGACACAGATTACTGCTAGTATCAACCTGAGGGCGGGAGGACACAGCAAGATAGTGTACAACGCAAAATGGCCACCCTCAGTTATATTGATGAAGAATACCCACAAGAACAATGGGTCAGAGTCTATACAGATGGGTCCGCAGAAAGTGCAGTTAGAAATGGTGGTGCTGGAGTGTACATAGAATTTCCAGATGGCACTAGGGATAAGTCCAGCGTACCAACCGGGAAGTACTGCCATAACTACGATGCAGAAACCCAGGCTATTAAGATAGCTACAGAGAAACTGCTAAATACCAACCTTGGCTCACAGTATGTGGTAATGCTTACAGATGCTAAATCAGTACTTGAAGCACTCCAGTCTAAGAAACTACCAGAATTGCAAACACTGCTGACACAACTCAGCGTTCAGCGAAGAGTCGTAATGCAGTGGATACCGTCTCATTGTGGAGTGCCTGGAAATGATAAAGCTGATCAACTGGCAGGGGAAGGTGCGAAAAAAGAGCAGCCAGATGTACCAGTCACATACCACCAAAAGAAAATAATCATTAAATCGATCAGGAAACCACCAGCCCCAGCACAAGACGACTATTTTATTATGGACAGACCAGAACAAGTCATTATCTTCCGCCTCAGAACAGGGCACAACCGATTACGTAGCCTCATGTACACAAAATTCAAGATAGGTGTATCAGCCATGTGCACCAGTGGAAATGTGCCCCAGACCGCAGAGCATGTACTCCAGGACTGCACCAAATTTGGCACATTAAGGTAAACCTTTTGGCCAGAAAGAACAACAGTGGAACGTAAACTCTATGGACCACTGAATGAACTAACAACGACAGTGAAATTTATACAAGAGACAAAACTGCTAATATAGATAACTTATTTCAGGCGAACGAAAGAAGAAGAAGAAGAACTGCCAGTATCAACCTGAGGGCGGGAGGACACAGATTACTGCCAGTATCAACCTGAGGGCGGCAGGACACAGATTACTGCTAGTATCAACCTGAGGGTGGGAGGACACAGATTACTGCTAGTATCAATCTGAGGGCGGGAGGACACAGATTACTGCTAGTATCAACCTGAGGGCGGGAGGACACAGATTACTGCTAGTATCAACCTGAGGGCAGGAGGACACAGATTACTGCCAGCATCAACTAAGGGCTGGAGGACACAGATTACTGCCAGTATCAACCTGAGGGAGGACACAGATTACTGCCAGTATCAACCTGAGGGTGGGAGGACACAGATTACTGCCAGTATCAACCTGAGGGTGGGAGGACACAGATTACTGCCAGTATCAACCAAGGGCGGGAGGGCACAGATTACTGCCAGTATCAACCTGAGGGAGGACACAGATTACTGCCAGTATCAACCTGAGGGCGGGAGGACACAGATTACTGCCAGTATCAACCTGAGGGCGGGAGGACACAGATTACTGCCAGTATCAACCTGAGGGCGGGAGGACACAGATTACTGCCAGTATCAACCTGAGGGCGGGAGGACACAGATTACTGCCAGTATCAACCTGAGGGCGGGAGGACACAGATTACTGCTAGTATCAACCTGAGGGCGGGAGGACACAGATTACTGCTAGTATCAACCTGAGGGCGGGAGGATACAGATTACTGCTAGTATCAACCTGAGGGCGGGAGGACACAGATTACTGCTAGTATCAACCTGAGGGACGGAGGACACAGATTACTGCCAGTATCAACCTGAGGGCGGGAGGACACAGATTACTGCTAGTATCAACCTGAGGGCGGGAGGACACAGATTACTGCTAGTATCAACCTGAGGGCGGGAGGACACAGATTACTGCCAGTATCAACCTCAGGGCGGGAGGACACAAATTACTGCCAGTATCAACCTAAGGGAGGGAGGACACTGATTACTGCCAGTATCAACCTGAGGGCGGGAGGACACAGATTACTGCCAGTATCAACCTGAGGGCGGGAGGACACAGATTACTGCCAGTATCAACCTGAGGGCGGGAGGACACAGATTACTGCTAGTATCAACCTGCGGGCGGGAGGACACAGATTACTGCCAGTATCAACCTGGGGGCGGGAGGACACAGATTACTGCCAGTATCAACCTAGGACATCTTGAAGGGACATCACGAGCATCAGGCTGGCAAAAAATGTATGTACTTTCTGTACTTCTGTGAGGATGTCTAGGGGGGGGGGGGGGGGGGGGGGGGGGGGGGGGGGGGGGGATCAGTGAGACGGGGGGGAAGTGTCCAGAGTGTCCAGAATGTTAGCCATTTGAATAAGCTTGTAAATGAAAGCCTAGAGTTTTCTGTTAGAACCCAGTTTTTACACGAAAAAAAAATATTACAAGTAGTAATTTCCTACCAGCACTATACCCGTCGGAGTTCCAATGTAAAAAGGGGGGGGGGGGGGGGGGGGGGGGGGGGGGGGGGGGGATCAGACAAGATTAACAGCTTTGTAACAAACTTTTCATATAAAGGAACTACATGAGGTTTGCTGAGATCTAATATGTTGGGCCGAGTGGCGCAGATACCGCAGCCTAGCTTTAGAGCACAACTCAATGTGCGAACCACTTTTTTTTTTGGAGAACGAACGCAGAATAATAGTAGGAAGAGGATGCCAACAATATGATACCAGTGTCGAATCTGGACACTATAAAAGCTCACATATGTAAAATTTATGAGATGAGATGCCTGAGGAAAGTCGACAGTTTTACCACCCGAAATCAAATGAGAGAAGAGACTATCAAATCAATGGAAAAATACACCATTGGCAAAATACATCGAGAAGCTTAAAATCGAAAGGTTTGATGATCTTGTTGGAATAAATAACACCACAGGTACTGCACGTATAAAGCAAAGACACCAGAGAAAGTGGTTGCTCAAGAAAGTCATGGATTGACGTCACTGACGGAAGGAAAATAGCCACTTCTACCACCACAAAGAACTTTCACCACTAGCACCTCCTCTCCGCGACACCTGAAGCTAAAGATGGAAGATGTTCATTGTTAACTTTCAAAATCTTCCTTGTCTCATCTGGATCGAGATCAAAGGCTGCGTTAAATTATTCAGAAATATAGTCTGCTCAACAGATCAACAATCGTATTGGTCAAACCTTTTATGTGACAAAGGTGCCAGCGAGCTATTTGCCTTACCGGCAGGAAGCAGATCTGTGGCAGGTAGCCAGAAACACCAGGGAAAGTATGAACACTCAGAAACACCAGGGAAAGTATGAACACTCAGAAACAAGCAAGAAGCTATTGATTTTATCTTCTTAGAAAGATGGCTGAGTTTAACTGCACGTGCTGTCTGAAGGAAGCCAGACGAGGACATTATTGCACGGGAGTGAATAACCGACGCAGTTCGTAAAAGTGGCCAACATAATACTATCTGGCAAGATAGTTTGAAAGTAGAATAAAAGCACAAACTACAAACTGGACTTTATTCCCCCTTCCCCCCCCCCCCCCCATCAAATCAGAAGCTTGGGACTTCATCACCTTGACCCAAACATGACTGCGACGTACTAGACATGAGGACAGTTCTACATGCTGTTATTTGACCAATCGTTTATCTAGGTTGTAAATTATTTATCTACATAAAAACTAGAAAACATTCGTGGAAAAAAATAAGTAAATAAAAAGAACAGAAAGAAAGCATGCATAATTCAGGGGACTGGTATCAGCGATCAAGTATGTTGTCAATACATTTTCCAATTATTACTACAAATAAACGTTCAGCCTGCCTGTCTAGCAGACAAACAAAAAAGAAGCATACAGGTGCGCGCGCATATACAAAGAGGGATACAGGTAAACTGGATGTACATAATGTTCTGTTTTTTCTGCCTGTATTCTCTACGTCATCATCCCAGTATGAAATGAATGTGTAGACGGTTTTGGTATGTCATCACATCTACAATCACAGATCAGGTCAGTGTTCTTTTCTCGCCCCTGCTTTGTGGCCACGCCATCAAAGTTTGTTTAACTTCTCATTACTTCCCGCCGTTCAGCTTGCTGATTATTTTCACGTTCCATTGTATTTTCAGCTCTATTTCTCTTTATAAAGTGATCAGCCTGAATGTATTTTTTTCCCAATCAGTTTAAGTTTTTACTGTCTTTGCCTGGAAACATTGCCTTGTTTGTTTATGTGACGTTTTGTTGTACTGCTTTACGCATGCAAGAAAAAAACATGCCAAGATTTATTTCAGGACACAAATACTGAAACACATAAGATCATTTCCACAACAGAATCTACACTTGCATTCAGACAACAAGAAAGGCAGAATCTCGACACAAAGGACCAAAGCAGAATCTCAGTACAAACACAGAAGAACGTTTCTACATAGTCTACAGACAACAGACAATAAGAAAGGCGGGAACTCTAGACAAAAAAGACTATCACAATATCTCAGCACTGATCTGAGCTCATGTGTTGCTCACACAAGCCATAGGCAACACCAAGGCGAGAAGCTGATTGGTCACAGTGACAAATATCATCAAACTAATTTATGCAGCAATCACACAAACCTCTGCTTCGGCTTCCGGTTCCGCTTTTGGAGTTTCCTGTTAATTTCATCATATAAATAGAGATGTTTATATTTCAACAATTGGTTATTTAGTCATGCAAAATAAAGATGGAAGAAACACTGATTATTAAATAATGTGATACACACGCACACACACAACATTATATATATATATTGTTGTATCAAAAATTAGAACTATGAAATGTTAAGTTAGCACAAAATTAACAGTCATTTATTTCACGCAAAAATTATTGTTTTAATTGATTACAAAAATATTACAATAGTTGTCTTGCTGGATACTTTAGGTTTCCCAAACACAATCGAATCAATAGCGGATATTATGGAATGCACTAACACAAACATTAGATGTTCAAAAATAAATGCCTTGGAGGGAGTCGTTAATAAGTGAAGGAATGTTGATTAGAACTTCTTCTTACTCTTCTCAGCAGACTGAAGCTAGAACAAATACTTGATGACGACAGAATCCTTAATGGAAAGCTTTGGCATAAAACAAATAAATTCCAGTGAACACAGAGGAAAAAACGCTGGCGTTGGATAGGATGCATACTGAGAAAACCTGAAAACAATATACCCAGACTAGCATTGTAGACTACCATTGCAACGGAACTCACAGTGGCAAAGGAATACAGACAGCCGAGAAGGAAACTAGAGAGTAAAATAAAAAGATAGGACAAACGCAGGTTGAGCTGCAGGCGATAGCAAGCCTAGTTGACTGTGGAACACGTCAAAGATCCGCCGATAGTTGTTGAGTATAGGGAGTAGGCCATGCGATATCACCATTGTGGCAAATGTTGACCAGTTATTCACACAATGTAGAAATGTTTGACATACAAAAGGATTCTGGTCAGCGATACAGCTGCTGAGTCTAGTGCACTGAGTTACGATTCCCTTGGCACGATCTGCACTATTCTACACCAATAGATGTAATCTAATACGGCCAAGATCGTTGTTGACAGCCAAAACAAAACCAGTTATGATACATGTTGATGTTGATGATTATATAATAATAATATTAGTAATAATAAAAATAATATACACATTCCTGTTATTTGAAGTTTCCAAAATACTGATTGCATCTTAAAGATAGTCAGTTTTACCACTTGGCTGTGAATCCTCAACAATTATAAAACATGGAGACAAATCCCTTGAGGCCTCACTGATGTAGTTCTGCAGGACAACGCTGAAAACTCCGCGGATAACCAATACGTTCATCTAAATGCTCTAAATCAGCCACGACACACATGACGACTAATTATAAACACAGAGATATTCAACCCTAACTGTTGCATTTTTGCTGATTCAAGAACGGGTGGAACATATTATAATTAGGAATGTTTATGGAAAGCAAAAGAGGTAGTTAGACTTATTTATGGAAAGTGAGAGGGGCAGTTAGAAATATTGGTGGAAAGTGAACGCAGCAGTTAGAAATGTTTGTGGAAAGTGAAAGGAGCAGTTAGAAATGTTTATGGAAAGTGAAAGGGCAGTTAGAAATGTTTGTGGAAAGTGAAAGGAGCAGTTAGAAATGTTTATGGAAAGTGAAAGGGCAGTTAGAAATATTATAGAAAGTGAAAGAGGCAGTAGAGATATTTATGGAAAGGGAAAAAGGCAGTTAGAAATATTTATGGAAAGTGAAAGGGACAGTTAGAAATATTTATGGAAAGTGAAAGGAGCAGTTAGACATATTTATGAAAGGGTAAAAAGGCAGTTAGAAATATTTATGAAAAGTGAAATTAGCAGTTATAAATATTTATGGAAAGTGAAATGAGCAGTTAGAAATATTTATGGAAAGGGAAAGGAGCAGTTAGACATATTTATAGAAAGCGACAGAGAGGGACAACCAGAGAAAGGTTAGGACAACATTATGTTATGGCAAAGAAATATGTTAGCACTACATTGAATGATTTGATATTGACCGACAGGCCGTCCCATTCGGGCTATTGCATACTGGTTTAACCACGATTGCGGCTCAAAAAGTGACTTCCTGATTCTCATCCACAGGACCAATTCATAAATGCCCTTCAACCCCCGAGGAAGTTACCACAAGGACACCCAAAACGTCTAGACCGAGTACTACAATGGTGTAGGCTGAAGTCCAAAGCCTGTAATGATGCTGTTATTTAGTAGTAACATCATCAACGACCTCATCATCGTCATTGTCAAAACACCACTACCAACACCGGCATCAGCAGTATAAGCATCACCATCTTCGTCAGTATCATTATCATAAGATAAGTATATCATATTTAATGATTTCATTTTGACATCATCGTTGTCATATTCTAAGCATTATACTTGAAAAGTACTTAGTGAAGTCATACTGTATTTGGCAGAAGCGCCAGGCCGTACTTAAAATGTACAATATACAACATACAGCATGCTGTGAGCGTCAACGGGTTTATTGAGATATACCTGCGGGTAAGGATGTATGTTACATGCTAGGGTACAGGGACATTCACTGGTTTAAGATGGTGGGTACATACATGTAAAGCGCATCGAGCAATCTCTGAGATGAAATAGCTGTCTTCTTGTTCTTGTTCTTGTTCTTCTTCTTCTTTTTCTTCTCCTTCTTCTTCTTCCCTTATTAAACTTACAATGGGATACTCGAGACCCACTTATCTCGTTTTTCTCTTGTATCACTGGTCCCCTGACCTTGTCCTCTCCATCGAGAACTCTCTGGGATTTCCCCGGGAATTCACAACTTAACATTCTTTTTCTCCTGCCTTTCTAAAAGCCACCCCCCCCCCCCCCCCCAGCCCCACCTGCAATGGAGCACAGCCCCTCAACCAACTCACGCCAAGTCGTTCCATCTTTCGCTATCGCATGCAGCACTCCCCATGTTCTCCCCATTTTTTGAACTTAAACCTCTAACTCCGTTCTCCATGTAATTTTTTTTGGGGGGTGGGGGTGGGTGGGGTGGTATGGGTGGGGGAGGGGGAGGGGGTGGTGGGGGGGGGGGGGTTGTCTTCTTTTATTTCTATGCCCCTGTCGGTTCAAGTGCAAAGACATTCAAGTTATATTGTTCTCAGGTTTTCCCAGCGTGTTCTCAACGCCAGTACTTTTTCTTCACCTCTTGATCCAGTTGAACTTGTTTAGTTCTCTCCTAGTTCTTTACATTAGTGATTATTTCATACCATTTAGATGCCTCCATTCTGCACAGGCACCGATTAGGCAATGTTTGCAGTTTATTTGTAATTGTATTTGTTCTCCATGAAATAACCGTATCTGATGTTTGTTTTGTTAATCTGGACCGCCCCGTAAGCTCGTCCCCCGAACGATACCATGGCAGAAATAGGACAGATCATTCCTGGACAAAAGAATCATTTCTAATACATGTATCTGGGGTCTGCATGTCTGTTGTTCACCCTCCGGGCTGCTACTTAATGATCTCACTACACATGAGACTTCAGGAGTCGGAATCAAGGTGGCAGTCTAACGGGACAAATCGCACACAGACTGTTGAATGTTCCCTGTTGGTTCCTGCAAACGTGACCTTGAAATCCTAATGAATGCGCAGTCTCCCGAGACGTCATGTGATAACGCACGTGACAATCATAACAGGTGGCGCCGCCTGCAGTTCTTTACAGCTAAAAGTGTTTGGTGACGCATGCAGACTAGATAATTAACATAGACATATGAATCATTTCCGACACATAACATACAGGGGCGATATATGGCGTGGATAAGGGAATCATTTCAGACACGTAAAATCCAGGGGAGATAGCTGGTATGGACAAGTGGATAATTTCAGACACACAACATCCAGAGTAGATAGCTGGCATGGACAAGTGGATAATTTCAGACACACAACATCCAGAATAGATAGCTGGCATGGACAAGTGGATAATTTCAGACACACAACATCCAGGGAAGATAGCTGACATGGACAAGTGGATAATTTCAGACACACAACATCCAGGGCAGATCACTGACATGGACAAGTGGATAATTTCAGACACACAACATCCAGAATAGATAGCTGGCATGGACAAGTGGATAATTTCAGACACACAACATCCAGAATAGATAGCTGACCTGGACAAGTGGATAATTTCAGACACACAATATTCACAGTAGATAGCTGGCATGGACAAGTGGATAATTTCAGACACGCAACATCCACGGGAGATAGCTGACATGGACAAGTGGATAATTTCAGACACACAATATTCACAGTAGATAGCTGGCATGGACAAGTGGATAATTTCAGACACACAACATCCAGGTCAGATCACTGACATGGACAAGACGTACACACTTAAGGCTCCAGAACGGTAAGCGTCAAACACGATTTATGCAGAGTGGAATGTGGAGCACATACAGCAGGCTTTACTTTACCTACTTCCCTTAATTTACCAGAACTTACTTTATAAAAGATGATTTACTACTGTCACTTTACTAGTACCACTTTAAAATGTTTACTGTTACTTACTTTTTAAAATATACTATTGTTTATGAATACCAAATTATTTATAACTACGTGAGGATGTTACACATAGTTGAACTTGACACGAAACAATATATTTGAGAGCTGTTCACAGAATCTGATTCTCATTTAAAGTACTGATTATTTGAGAGACTTTGCTAAAGAGAATGCCCAGTCCCAGTAATAATTAAAAAAAGGCACTTGTGAATATTTTATGTGTGGATGTCATAGATGTCTAGGTAAGTATAAACATATGTAAGAGTCAGTTTAAATATTATGCATATACAGTATTAGTGCAGCCAGACGACATATGTGTATAAAATAAGGTGTATATACTTTGCATATACCGAGTTAGTATGCAAGCTACTTGACATGTGTGCATATGTGGCGAGACACGAACAGCTAAAGGCTATTATATCTCATCAGCTGTGAGATAGGAAGCCGCCATTGTGTAGCGGCTAGAAGGATCACAAGGTTGTGAGTTCGCGTCCTGACGGAGCCCAATTATTTTTGTAAACACGATCTTGGGTTCCATGTCGACCCAGCCTTGAGTGGATACCAGGCATAGTCCTGGGAAGTAAAGGTGACCGGCG